TTTATTATCTGTAGTAGCATAGTGGATCTACTACTCTACGTTTAACGGCAAATCATTAATAGAAAATTGGTCAATCAACTTTCATCATTGAACTTAAATACTTTAACCACTGAACTTTAACAAGTAATAATAGAATAACAGATAATTAAATAAAAATATTACATGAAATACATTTTTTTTCTATTATTAAACTAAAAATAAAGGTTATTATTAAATAAAATTAAAGTTTAGGTATTTTAACTCAGAAGGAATGAACATTTATTTTACGTATTATTGTAGAGTTTTTTTGATTAATCGAGTGTCTTTTCCTTAATTGATCACTCTGAAGTTAAATATATCATAGTCAAACTTATTTATTATCAAACACAGTTTCTAAATAATCGAATATATATGTCTATTTCAGGTCTACTATATATGACAGGAGTGATTTGTTTTGCAGCCGGTTGGGGTTCAGAACGCGTGGTTAACTTATGTGGTATACAAGCGGAGCCTTTTGTTTCAGCAAATTGCACAATGGGTAAGTTTCAATTTAGAATACTAAACGTTTTATAATTATACCGGATTTGATGTACTTGTAATGATCTGGTTTTTTATAATATTTTTATTCGCAACAGGTTCAGGTCTGTACACCGCAGCTTTCGGAATCGTTTTGACTTTCGCTACCGCAATGCTATCGGGACCGGCAGATCGAGCTACGTCCAGTGATAAAGTGGCACTGCATTTGGAACAAGGGGAAAATGTCGTATTCCTTTTGTAAAAACTTAATTATAATGAATGAATATTCGTTCATAGTAAACAATTCAAATGCAAATTTATATTTTCCTATTTAGCATTTTTAATCTTTCTTTACATACATACGTATAGAGAGTGGAACAGACCAATTGACAACTTTTTAAACTTTTGATACAATTAATATTTTGTTGTAATATTAAAAAAAAAAAATGTCTACGTTTTTAGACGTTAAAATTATATTTTTTACCATTTGTTTTTAATAATATTATTATTAGAATTTTTAATTAAAATTTTTTTAATAGTTTCAAACAATTTTTGATTATTTTTTTGAGTAATTATTTTAATATATTGAATGGAAAAGTAACGCGGGTGTAGTATGTTTTATAAACATACACCAACACGAGCTGTACCCATATGAGCAACACACCTATTTGATGTATTGTAATACTGGTAATTCAATAATTACTCGTCCTAAAATTTTTATTGGCCTAAAATCATTCTTGTAAGAAAACTACTAACAACTGATTATTTTAAAACGTTAAAAAATTTTAAATAAAAAAAAGTTCTTTTAATATTTATTATTATTAAAACAAATAAAAGAATATATGATCTCAACATCATCTGAGAATGCATAAATTATTAAAAAGAAAAAAAATTATAACAAAATGTTAATTGTATCAAAAATTCAAGAGTTGTCAGTTAGATTTGTTCCATCTGTGTGTATATATATAAACAGCTCTCGGTTATTATGCATCACTCGATTACTTAAAAAATATATACATAAATATTTTTTTTGTCTTTTTTAATAAGATATATATTTGAATTATCAGCCAAAAATTATTTTTTAATATTAACCCTAATAACATATAGAGGCAACAGCTTTATATTTTTATATGATAACATACAAAAAAATATATTTAAGAAAATGGCTAACTGGTCGATAACAACTTTTGGACCAGTCATTCAGTAGGTTTTAGCAATGTATAATATTTCTTAGCTACTATTCTCATCTCACTTTGGTTTGAAAATGAGAATAACTTGAGAAATACTGAAGAATTGTTATCGACTAAACGTTTTCTATTTTATAAGCCAGTTAATTATGAACGTTACCATTAAAAAAAAAAAAAATTAACGCCTCTATAAGTTATAAGGACATATAGGATATGTTTCTAAATAGTAATTAATAGTTGATATATTTAAGTAAAAAAAAAACTTAAAATTTGTTTTTCAATATTATATTTATTTTGTGAATGCCCGAGTAGTTTATGATAAATCGATCACCATGTATACTTAAAATAAAATATTTCTATGTTATTTTTTGTAGTATTATTTAAAAACTACAATTTTTATTAATTTACATTTTATTGATATATTTATTTACAAGAATATGAACAAAAACATCTTATTTATCTGTTAAATTAAAATTATTTCATGTTTAAGAATTTTTAATAATAATTTTGTATATGTAATATTATTTAACTATTGTTTTATATATTCTAATTGTATAAATAAATAATTTATTAAGGTTAACAATAATAAAATATTTGTATATAATAAAGTATGAAAATAGAAATCATTTTTTTTTTTGTTACATTTAGTAAATAATAAAACAAATTCAAAAATAGAATTTATTTTCTATAATTCAATAGTATACATAAAAAAAAATTGTTATCTAAATTTGAACTTTTTTGGTCAACCCTAAAAGGTTACTGATACGATCACATATACATAATTATATTTCACATCATTGTACCATTTGGCTTATAAAATAGATACAGTGACATACGTATTATTACAGGTGGGCAAACTGCACATATTAACACTTTTGGAATTCATGGTCACTTTGCCATAATGCCAATGTCTCAAACGCCACTTGACTTTTTACATTATCGCGTCTATTATTTTTATTGTCCTACATTTTAACTTAAATTAGCTACTACCAAGATAGTGTGTGTCGCTATCAGCTCCCTGTTGGATTATTATCATCTCTAGGTGTCCAGCAGGTTGTACTGCATATTTGATATTCATTTATATTAAATGCTTAATAAATATTTATATAGTTAACCAAGAATGTTGTATATATATATATAAATTAAATAGGAAATCTCAGTACCTAAGGTAGATATAGCTTAGCCAGCTATCCCCTGTTGGTCCCTTAGAAAACTGTTGACAGGCATTTAGTGTCAACTCCTAAATAGCTACGTAACAGGTGCTCAAGAGTTTGTATTCTTTACAAAAATCAACAAAAAACATAGGTAAACATGATTGTTACAATAAAATATTTATTTATCACAAAATAATTAAAGGTTTTTTT